AGAAGCTACAAAAAGAAAGAACTAGTTAGTAAAGGAAAAACAAGAAAAAAAGGAACTTAAAGATGCTAAACAAAACTTACAATTCTAGCATTCTAGGTGAACTAAAGTTCAGAAAGCAAACCTACAAAAAGAAGCTAGTCAGCAAAAGTTATTCCAAGACAAGAGAGTCAGTATGAAAATTTCAGAAAAAAAAGTAAATTGGCAAATCACGCTGAAAATCAAGTAATGATTTACAAATCACTTGGACAGGCTGATTCCTAAAAAAAATACTGTTTTTAACTGTTCTAAAAAAATTAATCTAAAAACTTATCATGAGTCCTATTTGAAGAGAAAGTCCATGCCAAATGCTAAAAAAAGAAAAAAAGAACGGTTAATATCATTTTAGAAGAAAGAGATTTATCAAGAGGAGAAAGTCTAGACTGCTTCCTAAAAAAAGAAAAAGAAAAACAATTAGCTTAAAGAGAAAGTCTAGGCAATTCCTAAAAAAAAGAAAATAAAACAAAAAAGAACGGTTAATACTATTCTAAAAGACTCACTTATAAAAAAAAACTTACCAAAAAATCCACTTAAAGAGAAATTTCAGGCTGATTTTTCTAAAAAAAAAAATGGAAAAAAAGACGGTTAAAACTAGTCTAAAAGAAAAATAATTAAGAAACAAAAAATAAGGAACAAAAAAAGAAATGCTACTTTCAAGATTCAAGAAGTCTAAACTTTCCTATAACAGAAAAGAAAAAATAACTGTTTTTATTAACTTTAGCATGGTTTATTGAACGAAACTTTTCATATAAATAAGAAAAATTAAAAATTTTTTTTATATATTATAATAACTATATCTATTTTTAACACTAAGATCAGCAAAACAATAACTATAATAAGCTTTTCTAATGTAAAGACCCTATATAATTATTTTATAATTATCATTTTTAAATTTTGACCTTTTGAGCTCAAAATTAATTTATTTATAAAATGATCAAAATGTATATTCTTTTACTAATAATGAATAATAAATTTGTTTTTCTAATCATAATAACAAATTTCAAAAATTTATATATATTAGAAATGAATTAAAATTAATTATGAAACGGTAAGTTATTTAACTAAGTATTATTATGAAGGAGACTAAAAGTCATTTAGCATTAGCTAGAGAAATTATAAATCAGATACTAAGTCCTTCTGATTCTGAAATTTTTTAAGAGTTAATTCTTCTCTTTTATACAGTCTGAAAAGGATAAAGTTATTCACTTTTTTTTTGAATTTTCTGATAAAAGGCTGTAACAACTAGCTTATTTTTTTTTATTAATCATGATATAAAATTTTGGTTCAATTTCAATATTAATTCTTATATTTTTGATAACAGACTAGTATTTCATATAAAAAATTACATTTTAACAACTCAGTAATTTCTTTGTTTTATTTTTAAGAATTACAATAATAAAAAAATCGTCAGCTTTACTTATTGATTTACTCTTATAAATAGTAAATTAATATTTTTGAGAAAACAATTTACAAGTTTTTTGTTATTATAAATATGACACTTTTGTAGATAAAACTCACTTATGTGATAATTATAGAAAACATAAATATATATATATTTTTTTGGTAGTTTATGATTGATTAATTGCTGTATAATATATATAATATACATATTATTTATTCGCTTGATATGACAATAAATAAGTATTTATATCACCATAATTTATGCAATTAAAATCAAAATATAAATATTGATTTCTAAATAACTATCATATGCTGAAAGCTTAAAGTTAGAATTTACCTAGTCTAACTAAGAGCATAAATTAATTACAAAAAATTAATACTAACAACTATTTCAGATACAAATATAACATATGATGTAAGAATTCTCCTAATAATTAGATGGTCATAGAAAGCATCAGTTATATGAATTGTTAATTTAAAAAGCATTAAAATTCAAGATGTTACAATTAGTGAATGCAGTTGTATGCTACTATTATTAAATTGTATTATATCAAAATTTCACTATTATGTTGCAAAAGTTACTTTAGCCTCTGAAATTTGATAACAGTATAAGAATATAATATATTATTAATCTTACCTTAGTAACATGTATTTCTGCTACTGCTAAGATTGGATCAGCATAGCCTGCTGATTCTTACACATTCATAACTTAGCATTTTATTAAAAAATCTTATACAAATAAAAATACTTGAATAAAATGATATACAAGATATATTACCATTATCTGATAAGCAGTTCTTCCTATAATTATTTTATAAAAATATTTTATGTCAAGTTTTACATTTTTTATTCAAATAACTGATACTTGAACGTTAGCTACCTCATATATAATTCTTATGTGATAATTACCTTGTAAATATATTATTAATATTGGTAAATTAATTTTGAAAATAATTATGCTAATGAAGTATTAACTAAAAGTACTTTTACATCACTAGAAGATGGACTAGGATGCAAAATTATAGGTTTTAAAATATGAGCTTTTGCATATATAGTAAGATCTAATGCAAATTTATTTTTATTTTCAGTTGGATTATTATAAACTATAGAAAACAAATCTGAATTATTATTACAAGCCAAAAATTAAGTGAATTGAAAGAAAAAATCTCTTATATAGTTAATTAAGTACATATATCAGATTTCATTTCATAACATTGTTCAGTTTTTTAAAACAGTCAAAAAGATATAATATTACAGCTCCATGTTCTAAAATATATATTTCAATAATATATATGTTACCTCTATCCTAATAAAACTTATATCTAATACTTTTGTTTTGATCAAGAAAAGTGTTATAATCTCTAACTGAAATATTTGATCCAATTTATAAGAACAAATTATAACTATATGAGGTAATATTGGGTGGATAAAAATCTGTATAAGGCTTACTGCTTACTTACCTATCTTTTCTTGAAAGAATTATTGGTAACTTAATTTATGAATTATATTATTAAACATTTTAGAAGAGGATTTTATAAAAAAAATTAATCAATCAGTATTTAATGATGATATTTATCTCTTTACTAAATATTTGATGTAGTATTAATACTAAAGTCCTAAGTAGTAGTAATTCTGTAATAGTGATGATCATAAAAATTATTGAATTAATCATGTATTTTTTTTATAGTGGATAAATATATATTGTCTTTCAGACAATTATTAATAATCATATAAGTCTACATGAATCGAATCAGATTTAGATTGATTTAGCTTAGTAAAATAAATGCAGATAGTAAGTATTTATTTCTTTAATTATTTTATTGTGGTCAGATTACTGTAATACTTGCACTTATGCAGGGTTTTAATTTTGAATTTTTTAGATTTTTGATTGCATCTGTTGCTGTTTAATTATCATATGTAATATATAACTCTAATTTTTGATGAACAAATGATATTACATCAATCATTTTTATCAAGTAATTTTTATATGAATTTTACATTTTTTTTTCATCATCAATAAGTAAATTATGTAACTTTATTATACTTTAAAAATTTTTTTTGGTATGAATGTCATTTATTGGTATGAATATTCATTTAGTTTGTGACTTTTAATTTATTAACTTTAAAACTCAAATCCTTTTGTTATTTTTAGTGAATCTTACTAGAAAAAAAAACAATTTTACTTATAAATTCATAAAATTTTTTGTAAAAATTTTTTAGATTAAAATTTAATACAAAATGATTTTATTTTTTAATAAAAAGTATTTTATTAAATAGGTAATGTCTTAAATAAAATTTCTTCTTTGTATTAATAAGTTAAAAGTTTATCACCTATTAAAAAAAATATGTGATAAAATTTATTATTTAATTAAAAGTTTAAAAGGTTTGAATAAAAACTCTTGAAAGGTATGGTATATCTATTAAATAAATTTTTGCTTAAATATACTATATATTTTTTTTATTTGATTTTATATTTTTATATTTTATTCTAAATATATTATTATACATTTTATTGATATTACAGATATAACTTATTTTACTTGGATTTTTGGACTCTTAATTTTTTTTTACTTGAATGGTATGGTAGAAAATATCATAATTAGAATTTCTTTTTAGATTTTTTTAAATAATCAATTCTAATAATATTAAACAAACTTCTTACTTAACTTTAGAGGTATTCCACTAATCATAAAAGTATGACATTAACAAAAAAAGGTAAAAATCAAAAAAAAAAATACTTCAAAGTTGGAAGATACCAAATTCTTCTACTAATGAAAAAATTGAATAAATATTATATTTCTAAAGTAACATTAGGATGGATGAAATAGAAAGAAAATTTAAGACAAAACCTTTTATTAAATAAAAATAAAAATCTTATTTTATTATAAAAAAATGATTTTTTAAATTTTACATAAAAACTATCTGAAAACCCACCTTTGTAACCTAAGAAATTCTTTTTTCTCTCGTAAATTTACATATATTTTTATTGTCAAAACTATGTATTTGTCCATATTTTAATAGGATCTTAAAAAAATACCTTAATTTCAAGACGAAACTCGAGTAAAAAAATATTACTAAAATACGAAAATTTGATATTCTATCAAATTACTTAATAGTGCGATATGGTTACACGAATTTCAGTTTAATATGAATCATCCATAATGTACTGCCGGGTGATTTAGTTAATCTATTTTTATTTATTTTTTTTTTTAGATCGGAATGTCGATCTGGGTTTAGGTTATATTTCTTCTTTATTCAATAAATTTTATGGTTTTTTAAATATTTCAAATTACAAAGCCATGACAATATTAACTTATTAATCACGCATGATTAAAAACTTCTTATATTTAATAAATAATGGATGAGTCATTAAGTTACATGACGAGAATTAAATTGTCTGTTTAAAAAAATAAATTTTAAAAAAGGAAATCCAAAATACTTTTTTCCTATTATGGGCTGCAAATTTATTGAATCTTGACCATCTACATGCATTCATTAAATATGTTGATGTCCAAAATAGTAGATGGGTCAAGGTTCATATATTTGCATTGAGGTCACCTAAATTATTCATAGGCTGAAACATCCCATAACCTTAAAACTTCATTATAATCTTTCTTTCTCCTTCTCCTAATACTAAAGTATCCCATTCCTCGAGGTCTGGATTTACTAATTAAATTTTCCGGATTTTCAGGTAATCCCAATTCGTGAACGGCCAATTCTTGTACTCTCATTCTAATATTTTCCCTTATAGAACGAATCTCACTATATTCGGAAAGTGGCAAGAATAATAATTTGGTGAGTGAAATACAAGATCTCATGGCCTGGAATAAATCTTCCGTCCATCTTATAGTTAACCACATCAATAATGGAATTAACCACGATGTGATCAAAATAAATGGAAGTGTAAAGAAACATGCGATCAAATAAATTGGAATGAGTAAAATTGCGGAAATGAGTAATTTGTATTGAGCAATCTCATCAAGGTTCTCTGCTATGGGTAATTTACGAATTTGATATTCTTTAAATCTATAGAACAAAAAAAAATTCATCAAGGAATGTAGATGAGAAGAATCAACCTTAGTTACTCTGGTATTCACTTACTTGACGGCAACAAATACAGGCGACCACAAAGCCCAACCAGGTAGTGAGAGGGATGCAAGAACAGATGCCCAAATAACTCGTAAGTAAATACGGAATATAAGCGCAGGTTTAGAGAGTGGAGTGGGATTACTAAATCTATAATCTTTAATTCCACGTGAATCCAGAAGATCTTGATAGGCCTTTAAAGGAAAAAAAAAAATTTTTTTTATTATTACCCCTTGAAAATGAAAAATCATCTTTAATTACTTACGGTCAAATCTCTAGATAAATCTGCTAAATCAACTCCTTGATGAGAGATCTTTTCATTTTGAATATCGGGATTATCCACGCTTAACAAATTACCGGAATCAATACGTTCTACGATGAATTCTTTCTCATCCAAAATGCTAGTACCATTTGGAATATTATTACTCGAACCCTCGACAATATCGTTCTCAACATTCTTGACTTTAGACAAAAGGTCAATGAATTTCTTCGTCAATTTAACATATTCTGAAAAAGAAATTCTGGTTCCAAGTTCTCCGGCATATAATTTTCTTGCAGTATGAGCAATTCTTAAAGTTTGCCAATCAGGTGAATCCAGAGTATTTGAACGAACCATTTCTTCCATTGCATTCGTTAATTCATTTATCGCTTGTTCGCTACTACGCCTCCTACCATCTTCTGTAATAGTTTTTAAGAGATTTTGATGCTTCGGTGTGAGAACGATGGGTGGATTGAATTGTACCAACACATTCGATCGAAACTTTTCACGGTGGTTGTAAACGATCGAGACCGTTAGTAAATTAACTGAAAAGTCCTCCTTATCCTTATTACGAGTAAGGATCTGAGTAAAGTGAAAAGAAAAAAATTAATGACTTTGTCAAAAGTTGAAGAAATTATAAATATAATAAAATTCGTAAATGGTAAATGCCTCGCTTGCTATTACTGGGAATCATGAAGTTAACGATTAATTAATTTTAAATTTTTATAATGATCGCCAATAATAAGAAGAAATTTATTTCGCATACATGCAACTCCGGGTTTGAAATTTGCGATCTGACTATGATATCTACTGATGCCTTCAGGGAACAAACAAATACAATTTCCCTTTTCCAGAGTCTATATAAAATATTTTTTTTTTAAAAAAAGGTATTATAAATTTATAATTTTCAAAATATAATAATAAAAAAATAAAAGATAAATACATCAATGAGAACTTCGAATGATGAAGTGTTATCGACTTTAGCATTATTATAATCCTATCAGTTGATTAATAACTTTAGCATTAAACCTTTTTAAAATTGTCAAAATTGTAACATTATAAAAAAGTTTTATACTTTTGCTCTCTTAATAGGAACTGTACCGACACTCTTTATAAATATACTAATTTTTGTTAACAATTAATTTGATTAACTCGTGGTAATTTTTTGATTAACGTTTAACTCATGATAAATTGATTTATTTTTATGTATTACTTACCTAAATACATCGGTTTTATGCCAAAAAGTGTCTTTTGCTGTCATCCGAATCTTTTTTTATTAATTTAATTTATTTATTTTATTTATTTATTTTATTAAAATAGAAAAAGAAAATTTTTATTTAAAAAATTTTTATGCAGATATTTTTTTTGATACCTTCTTTTCTCTTAAAACTTACCATGTCCCTTTTTTCAGGAGGCACCGAACTCAATAATAAAATAGAATCGGTTAGAGAATTTGAATGATTTGGGCAAAGGATTGTAGGACACCCATCTGGAGGAATGTTTTCTATTCCGTCAACCTCAACCGCATAAAATGCATTACTTGAGATTTGGAATAAAAAACGAACGATACGATATGGTAATGGTGACATGTTTTTCGCTGATTGAAAATGGTCGTAAAATCAATCGGACCTTTTTTTTTTTTTTTTAAGTAAAAAATGAAAATATTATCATAATTAAAAAAATAAGTTTTAAAACAATTTAGATCAAAATATAGTTACTTTGTTTTGTATTAATATCTGCGTTTAATTAAGATTTGATGCATCAGATATTATTACATAAAAAATTTTTTTTTTTTTAATTTAAAAAAAAATTAAAAAAAAAAAATGTAACAAAAACAAATATGTTCCAGAGCACATTTTTATAAATTTATACATTTTTTTTTTTTTGATATGCAAGTTTTTTGATGAGCAAAAGCTGAACAAATTGACCTTGCCCCAAAAATGGGGCGACTAAAACAGTTCAATTTGGCTTCGAATTAAAGTTTAACCCGAAGATTTTAAGTTGTACAGGTATTTGAATTTCGAACTCTCGGGTGGGAAAAAAGGGTAATCTATATTAAAACATTTGAAAGTCACAAGAAACCTTAACTTATTTATTCATTAAATAAATAATCTGCAACGTATGATCACACGTTTATTTTTCTAGGGCAACTGTTTGTTCCGCAGTAAAAATCCTTTAACGGTTAGATTTTTTAATGTGTAAATCACAATCATTAAATTTATAATCTTTTTTAAAATAGATATCGAGATTATAATAAAAATGGGAACATGACTGATTGTTTTTCGTACATTTTCGCACATGTGATAGTTCCACCTGAAAAAACAAAATGACTTTCCGATATGACGTTCATCAGAATGAAAAATTTCATAAATATTTCGCACGCAGTGAAAATATTACAAATGTAATTTGAGATTTTTCCGATTTTGGATCATTAATTTTAAACTGTTGTAGCACAAATTTAAGCATCTGCGGATTTTTTCATCTTTTTCTTCTCGTCAGAGATGATGTGTCACGTAACAACGACGCACCTAAATGCGTATTAGTATCAAAGATGGCTGAAACAACTTTTTAATTTACTCAATCCTTTTTTGGTTAATCATAAAAGATAAGTTTGGGATGTGCAATGTTTACTCGAACATTTGCCGTAATTCGTTATACAATACAGCTTATCAACCCGTACTTATATTAAGTTATGCAATTCGTGCTACACCGGAATGATCGACGATATCATTAATTGTCGCCGCATCATCTATTTCATCGCCGTCACCCGCATAAATAATAAATAAACGGTATAAAAATAATTCATATATATGAAATGATAATTTTCCATTAATCAAAAATTCTTGAAAAGTGAAAAAAAAAAAATGTCAAACAGTAGTGGTAGTGAGGATTCAACTATACCTATTAATATTCCATCAACTCGTCATCGACGAAGGGGAACCGGGAATTTGTCAAATATCACATATTCTCTAGCCGGCACATTACAATCATGGACCGGAAACTACAGTCTTACCGCGAGGTAAATCAAAATGAGTGAAATCTTCTCTTTTAGATATATTTTTTTTTTAATAAAAGAAATTCATATATGCCTTTCAATCTTTAGTACGTACATGTCCAACAACATTGCGGTTCCTGCCTCCTTTATTGAAGATAATTTGGAACCAACCGTAACCGTACATGGGCCCGGATCTAATTTCTCGAACATAGCTTACGGACAATCTCAGCAATTTCCTTCATATTACTCACCTGGAAGAACTACACAACAGTACGGATCATTTCTTGCGCCAAGCATCGTTCCAAGTCTTCCTACCCTATCCGAAGACGGTGCAATTCCAATCAGACGAGGTCAAACGGATTACGACCCTGGCGATTATCTTGGAACTTCATATACAAATAACCGTCATACTTCAATGTGGAGAAATTCAGCAAATGATAGTTATCAAGGATCTAGGAGGCCATCGAGAATCACAGAACAAACAACTCCGCTTGTTCGAACTATTTCAAGAAGTTCGTTTACTTCTATTCCAATTTCGGTTGTACAAGACATAAGACATGACGATTCATTCGTTGGTTCAAATTTCCGTCAATCAATTTTCAACTCTTGCAACATTTTAATCGGTAAATAGTTAAATAGTTAGTATGTGGCGCAGCAGTCTCCGCATTCCCAACTCATTTTCAAATTTTTTATCTTAGGGATCGGCATTTTGGCGTTGCCGCTTGGATTTCGCTATGCAGGATGGATAATTGGATTATCATTATTCATGTTTTGTTTGGGGGTGACGAATTATACAGCAAAAGTACTCGCAAAATGTCTAGATTATGATGAAGGACTATATACATATGCGGATATGGGTATGCATATTGTTTTGCAACTTTATTTAATTATATATATTTTTTTTGTTGTTGTTGAAATTTCCGCGGAATAACCAAATTTTTTTACCGCATTCATTCATAATAGGCGCGACCGCATTTGGGCAAAGAGCGCGACTTGCTATTTCGATATTATTTTCATTGGAATTGATTGCATCGGCAACAGCATTGGTTATTTTAGTCGGAGATTCTTTACATGCAATATTCCCGGACACTTCAATAATCCTATTAAAAGTGATTGCGTGGATGATTATGACTCCATTGACGTTCATCGCCATAAGATGTCTATCGTATTTCTCGCTGCTTGGTATATTTAGTGCTTTTTCTTTGGTGACCGTTATCGTAATTGATGGATTTACTAAGCATGAAAAACCTGGAAGTTTAATTGATCCCATGAAAACCGAATTATGGCCAGTGGCTTGGGCTTCTTTGCCAATGAGCTTTGGTTTAATAATGGCTGGATTTACAGGTATGCAAAAATAGATTCTTTTGGTGTAAATTTATTAGTTACTTTTTTTTTTAAAAAAAAAAATAATAATAATTTTTATAACAGGACATGCTGTGTTTCCAACGGTATATAAGGATATGCGAAATCCAAGACAATATCCGAGAATGGTCAATATAACGTACACCACGACAACTGTTGTATATCTTCTTTTGGCAGTGTGTGGCTACCTAATGTTTGGCAATAACACCATGCAAGAGGTACTTTTGCTGAATTAATATTTCGCGAAATAAAGATATAACTTTTAACTTATTTTATTATATTTATTATAATCATTATAGATAACGCAAAATATAATGTCCACAGAAGGGTATTGGCGACCTTTGAATCATTTTGTGATTTGGCTGGTGGCAATCAATCCAATAGCAAAATATGCGTTAACGCTTAACCCTATAAATCTAACGCTGGAATTATCTTATAATTTAAATCCGGATATAGAAGAATGGTGTAACTCTGGTCGAGGAAGACGTACAGCTTTAAAAATATTATCAAGAATTTTAGTATCATCTTTGGTGGTATTTATCGCAATTCATTTTCCTGGTTTTGATAGAGTTATGGGGGTTTTGGGAAGTTTCTTTTCATACACGATTTCAGCCATCTTCCCATGTGTATGCCACTTAAAATTGTTTGGAGAGAAGTTAAGTCAGAAAGAATATGCGCTGAATGTGTCTATTATTATAATTTGTAGTATATTAAGTGCTTTTGGAACAGTATGGGCTTTCTTACCTACTGATCATGTATAAAATGGGAAAAAGTGGGAAACATAGAATTGATGTATAAAGGGCAAAAAAAAAAAAAATTTCATTAGAAAAAATTATTTATTATTATTTCATTTATTAGAATTTTTAACAAAATCAATTTTTCAATCATTAATAAAAAATTTACACAAATCATGATCGAAGAAAAAAAAAAAAAAAAAACGAGATATAGTGTGGAAGGACAAAAAAAAAGTCTGTGCGTCACGTATGTGTGAAGAATCTAGAAATTCTGGCGTTGAATGCCGATTGAGGATCGGCTTTGTACCTTATCAGTGCATATATATTACCTTATGGCTAAAAAAATTTAATACTTTTTTTTAAGCTGTATAAATTACAATAAAAATATCCATCTGAATCATTTTTCACGAAGTCACAACCGGTTTTGTGATTTGTTCAACGATCAATAATCAATGATGTAATCAATGGATATTATATAAATCTAAATATTATCAAATTTTTTTTACACTAAAAAATTTAATTTCTTTTTTTATCATGATTGCAGAAATTGTTACGGTTTTAGCAACAATTCCAACTGGATTGATTGCCTTTTATGTTTGGCTTTTACAAAGTCGTAAAGGAACGTTGCCAATAACGACAACGGATTGTTCATATGATCGTAATAAATATGGTCATATCCTTGATTGGGATAAACATTGTTTATCTATTCATGGAAGACCTGTTTTGATATTTAGTGGAGAATTTCATTATTGGCGGATACCTGATCGGTCGAGATGGGAGCATATATTAAAAAAGTATCGGGCGGGAGGGTTTAATTGCATTCGAATTTATTTTCACTGGGGATTTCATAATCCCGATGAAGGTATCTTTAAATTTGATGATAATAGAGATGTTGAATATTTGTTAAGTCTTTGTGAAAAATTGGAACTTTATGTTCTAGCGGCTCCTGGTCCTTACATTTGCGCTGAAACGCAAGCCGGGGGTTTTCCCATTTGGTTAGCTGACAAAGAGAAAAATATACGTCATATAAAATTCACAGGATTTAAAAGATATAACAAAAATTTCGCAGCCTATGAAAAGGCTTGGTTTGAAAATATTTTACCAATAATAGCTCGTCATCAGATTACTGAAAAACCTGATGGCTGTGTTCTCGCACTTCAAATCGAAAATGAATTGTTCGATAAAATTCGAAAAATTCCATTCGGTTTACATGATGAAATGCGTTTTCTTTGCAAGGTGGCAAGGGATTGTAAGATTACGGTTCCCTTATTTACTAATGACCCGGATGAATCAGGTTCTTTCATTGCAAAACCTGAATATGATGTGAAACCATCAACTCATTTCTTTAATCGAAGATCATTCGGTTTGGATCTATATGGATTTGATAAGTATTTAAGTAGGTAAAAAAAAAAAAAAAAAATAAGATAAAAATCTTAAAATTATAAACGTAAAATTTTGTTTGTTCCTTTATCATTTCTACAAGTATTTGTGCCGGCGAGTGCTCCAGTCCCATTTGATTTTAATGTCGAACAGGATCCAAAAAGATGGAATCCTTGGTCACCTAAAGCTGTGATGAATGCGTTGGATCATCTTGAAAAAGAAGTGCGAGGTTTTGGTCACGACGCGGCAAAAGTATGTGATATTTTATGATTTAATACAAGTTTGCGTATCAAAATTTAACATTATTTATTAATTATATTAGTCACCTATATTAATACCAGAATTGCAAGGTGGATGGTTTACAACATACAAGTTGGATCATACGTTTGATGACGTTTACAATTTTTATGGGGATCGTTTCACTCGAATTGTTTATGATTCGGTTCTAGCACAGGGGTGCACCATGCTTTCCATTTATATGGTTTATGGCGGAACTAATTGGGGAACGATTGGAGACACGTAAATGACAAGTTTTGATTATCTTTGAATCTTTTTAAAAGATTTCATCATCCAATTTTTATTTTATTTTATTTAATTTTTTTAGTGATGGATACACTTCATATGACTATTCCGCATGTATACGAGAATTTGGCTACATGTCTGCTCGTTTACGAAATTTGCGTCTTGGACTTTTGTTTGCACGAAGTTTTTCGGATGTTTTTGCAAGAACCGAACGTGTTGATGTTCCAAGTATTAGTGCATCTGTCAAGAATGTTTTCAATCTACAGAGACAAACTGTGAAAGATCAAAGTGGGCAAGGAAACGTTGTGGTATTTACTTTTCTTCGAAATTTTGCTGAAAAGAAACATTACCAATTTCAACTTTTTGTTAATCATACGGAGATTCAAGGAGAAACACAGACATTCGCAATGCAGTGTTATTTACCATACAAGAGTTCTTTTATCGCTTTAGGTAACTACATAACCTCAACGGGTTTGAAACTTATTTTCTCTTCGATTCCTATTCACTTGAGAATAGTACACCCACCAAGTGACGATGATGTGGGAAGGGAGATATGGATAATACCAGTCAACGATGTTGGTGAACTTGCCTTTGAGGGGGAAATCAATATCGAAGGAAATCTTCAACCTTCTATAAGGAAAGTTGGTCGTTTTATAAACGTTGTTTCATTTAATAGTGGGAAAGGATTTGTGAAAATTAAGCATGCGGAGGACCCAAAAGATCTCGTCATCCTAGCTTTAGATGATGATTCACTTGGCACGCTTCATGCTGTTTTTGATGAGCCTCATTGGGCTCAAGCTCATAATAAACCGTTTAATCTTCCTCATTCACCTTCCATAGTTAGTTGGGGAACACATAATTTTTATTTTGATTTTGAGAATAACACCGCGGAAATAGAATATGGAGAATACGAAAAGGGAATGACCATATTATCTTTACAACGACCTTCTGTTGATATTCGTTTAGATTCCAATCAAACATATCCATTTCCATTTATTTATAAGAAACAGCTTACAGCAGGCGATAAATCATCGGTCATACATACCACCCCAGAACTATTTAATTGGGTTACACGCGTTACAGATTTTTCGGACCTGGAGTGGCGACCGATCGATTTGAAAAACGGAGGGGCCGTTGAAAATTATTATTCATCGGGACATGTATTATATAGAACACGATTTCCATCCGTGAAGACAACAGATAAGAGAATACAATTAAGTATCAACATGCGACATAGATGCACCATATTTGTCAATGGGAATTTCGCCGGAGGTCATACGACGTTTAATAGGAACTTTTTCTTTCCAGGAGCGAAAAATGGACCAGAAATATTTACATTTTTAGGAGGAAATAAATATGATATCACGCAATTTGTTAAAAATTACGAAGATAATATCATAGTGATATTAGTTGATAATTTGGGAATTAGTCGACAATCGGTCGTATTTAATGATATAAAAAATCCAAGGGGATTGATTTCTGCGAAAATCTCTGGTTTATCGCGTGGATCAAAAGTTGCATGGGAAATTTGTGGAGTTGATGTGAGAAGATTAGATAATCTATTCATCACGAGTGGAATCCCTGATGAACATAAGAGAATCGGATGGGTGGAAAGTAAGAGCATAAATGAATACGGGGTGATACCAAATGATGGAATAAGATGGTGGGGTTTTAATTTCAGACATCCCGTTGATCAAAGATATGAAGGGATTATAAATGCACCATTAAGATTGGTTTTATTTGGGTCATTCACATCATATATCTTTTTAAATGGTACATTGATTGGAAGGTATTATGGAAATGGAGATTGTTCGCAGCATGATTTTTATTTGATGGATGGGTTATTAAACTTTAAGGAAGAAAATCGAATTATGTTAATGATATATAGTTGGGAACTTGTTTCTAATAAGGATATTAAAGTTGAGGTAAGGGGCTGGGAAGTCGATGAAGTGAATAAATCTGGTAACATTATTAGAATACCAAAAGGTGTTGATGATAGTGAGTATGACTTGAAATCTTGGATTTTTATGAGAGAAAAGATCAAGTTCAGTTGATCAATTTATATATGACTCTCAAATGTATTTTATGTATAATATATTTGTATATAATATTTGTATTGCCAATTCAAATTTGTTACGCATTAATAAAAATGAATTCCGGTTGCAATTATAACTTGTAATATATTCTTAAGTTCTGATAGATTCTCAGCATACCTTTCTATACAAACCTTCCTGAATCACAAAATCAACAATAGGTTCAGGGCACAAATCTAATAAAGCATTTCGAATTTTAACTTGATGTTCTTTAACCTCTTCTTCATTCTTCATATTGATTAAGATTTCCCTAACTCTTGTGGAAGACATTTTTGCGATTTCATCATCTAATTTTATCCTTATCACTTTCTTACCACTTTCTTCTCCTCCTCCTACAATCTCCTTAAAAATTTCACTACAAAAGAATTGTTCCTCGGCTTCTTCTCCACCGTAACCCTGTCTATTTGCGCAAATAATGCTATTCGTTTCAAAAAATGAAGCGAGTTCTTCTGGCATATTCGTATAATATTTCGGATTGAAAAATCGGATTATCGTATCATAACCCATAATAAAATATAATGAAAATGATTGAGATGGGTTATCGGAAGATTTTGACAGTGAAGTAAGGATTGCACGAGCTTTATCCGTAAATATTGGATGCGTAGTTACGCCCACGGCTAAATTCTGTAAAGCAGCTGTAAGTGAGTCAGATTGCGCAGTTGATCGGATATATGAAGCTAAGGCTTCCATCATTGATATTCTATCCACGATACTGGCATCCGATGATGTGACCATTTTATCCGCATTTTTAATTGCAAAGAGTAATAAACAGGCATCAAAGAATTCGGATGGTTGTTCTTTGATTTGCCGTTGTTTTTCAGGTATCTGTATCGTTACAGGTTGATTATTTTGAAAATGTATATTAGTTACCGATTTCATTATTAATTGCAAATGAGCCTTTGTAGGTGGATTAAAAGAAGAATCCAATACAGCGATGCGAATTGGTTTCTTATGATCGGGTTTTGATAATGAAATGGGCCAAGTTGGAGGTTGCTTATATGTGATTTTAAACAAAGGTCGTGATGGATTTAAGTTAAATTCACGTTGAAACGATGAAAGTAATTCTTCTATGCTTGCGCGACGAGATATTCGATTAGCGCACATGTTTTTTTTTTCTTATCTCGAAAAAATAATAATTTTTTTTCAAATATTTTAAATTGATATTCATGATTTCTGATTGGATTTTCAATTGGTCCATTGTCCCTCCCCCAAATGATTTCGATTGACAAAATTTAAAGCTGGTCAGTTAATAACTTGTCCTAGATTTGAATAGTATTAACTCTTTTTATCTACCCCATATTCTGTAACTGTAATACAAAATATTATAAATTTCATGCATACTAAGCATGATTTACTAAAATTTATTACGAAGATATTACATTCCAATTTGAACTTTTATTTGCAATTGAATTTATTATGCTATATTTATCGTTTAATATATCAAGTATACATGTATACAATTTAAAACATTATAGTAAAATTTGTAAATTTATATTATTATTCTCCCAACATATTGTAATCCAACTTTTCATGCATAAGCATGCTCTTGCTGTTTCTAATAACAACCGATTCCTAGTTTTACTAATAACATTACCTGCAACTGAAAACGCCTGTTCTGACATGATACTGGTGGCTTGAATTATAAGGTAATCTTATGCTATATTACTTACAATTGGATATTCTTTAGCATGTATCTGCCACTATAAAAGAGAATCAGTTTCTCATGAATTTGTATGCAAGGTAATGGTCTAATTCCGTTATTGTTGAAGAATATAATGGAGAGGGAAGTTCATTTGTATTTTGTCAAATTTGTGTAAAATATTGGCAAAAAGCATTAAGATGATGATGATGATGCATCAGATAAGCATTCTTGATATATTTTAAAGATAACCTGAATGTGTGTTTGAGCATTTTTTAATGATTCAATAAAAAACAAAATTAGTTAAAATTTTATAGTTAACTACAATATTAATATATTTAAATTCTAACCTGAAAAGATTGAAAGCTTTGTTCAAGGATCTAAAACTACAAAGATAATTGAAAGTTGGTCTATAATATTCCAATATTCATCAATTTTTTGATATATAAAAGATGTTATTTAATATTATGTAAAATTATCATTATCTATATATTATTTTAAATGCATTTGGATACTTTCAAAAATAAAAATGGAAATCACCTATGATTAGATAAGATGATGTCAAAAAATGTTTGATAGCTTTTCTATAAATTCGAAAAATATAAGTGTATCCTATTAAATTTATCAAAATAGTTAGCAATAATCAAATAAATAATAATATTAACTTATTAGTTACTTTAATCACAATCCAATCATTATCATTAGAATAAAGATTATTGATAGATCAATAATTTGTGAATCAAAGCTAGCTTGAGTTGCTTCAAACGTTTCAACATATAGTATATTAAGTTCCAACAGGTCTTTACATCCAAAAGGGATTTAAGGCAGTGATGGATTTTAGACACATTTTTTAATTTTAAACAAGGTTTTGAAAATATAAAATTATGTTCAAAACCTGTCTAAAACTATCCAAAATTATCCAATTTCCCAATACTGATTTAAGGTATTTAATTTTCTTTATATTACTCAAAAGGCGAAGCTCATCACAAATTTGAGTTGAATTTTTAATCTTGACCATTAACTTGCGTGTCTTACAAACTGAACTTTTACTAATTCTAATCCTTATTTTACATTTAGGTTTAAGACATATGCAGCACAATAATAATGAGAAAAAGTCATTAAGAAAAATACTGAATCAAGAGCTATCATAATATTTCTTCTACAAACCAATATTACAGCTTCATTTTCTATTGTAAGCGTGATGATTTTATCAAAAATGTTAAATTCATTTAGAACACACATTATTTCTTATATAATGTTCATTCTAGAATGGCTAATTAAAATAGAATAATATCAAGAAAAAAATTTTAAGATGTCATTCAAAATTTACATAATTAATAGTAAGATCTAAAATGTCTTCCAATTCACAAAGGATCTCATATTCACTGTTAATGGATACTATTCTATCATTTGGTGAAGCTCATTAGTAATTTTAAATCATCAGTAAATAAATGCGTTAACTATTAGATCTGATTTAAAAATTTAAAAATTTAAATTTTATTAAAAATAAAATTATAATTATGATGCAAACGGCTTAGTCACATCAAATAAATAAACCACTGCTAAAATTTATGCTGATCGTTACCATATTAAAAAATTTTATTGGTTAAATTCATATCACATGATAATTCATGTCATATAATCAATGCATTTCATGACAATTTTGTGACACTTTCGCGATACTTTTGTAATATTTTGCAATAGTTTTAAAAAGATTTTTAACATAATTTTTATTTCTTTAATAGAATTTCAATGCCAAAATGAAGTAAGCAATCCAAATATAATCAAGAAGCTGTCAGGAAATGTTAAAGACAAGCAAAAAGTTTTGAAGAAACTGTTCTATTACAATATAATGAGCTATTAGATGCTGAATCTGATAAATTAGATGAATCGTATTTTAATATTCTTTAGATAGAAGGTGAAGAAGCATGCTTAGACAGTGATGAAGTTTCAGATCAATTGCAAGCATTGCAACCAATAGAACAATTAATTGAAAATGCAAAAAAATCAGGTATATAGAATGTAAAATTGCGTGGGCAAATGTATAAGGGTGCTGTACAATTGATATTGCGTAACAAAAGAACATATTAGTGAAAAGCAGCTTCAGGTTCTAAAAAGATCACTAACATATTTCTGACAAAAGAAGTTTCTGAGAAGGATAATTTCGACTTATAATGGTAAGTCAATTTCTCCATTTAGTTCAGAATTAAAGATTCACCAAGATGGGTGCAAGTAACTTTCTTGCACAGAGTTTAAATAAAGGTCTATGGCAAGCACCGCTTACAGTCAAACCTTAATATAGCGAATCCTTGATATAGCGAATTTTTAAATCAAATATATTAAAATTACCTTACTATAGTGAACTAGCCAATTAAATTCTTTAAAAAATTTGTTATAAGCTTATAATAAAGTTGATATCCAAATCCTAGAATTTGTATATCAAGAGTTTACTGTATTCACTCCTGAGTGAATTAATGGCTTAAAAATGTTAATATTATTACGTCTAAATATGGTTTTCATGTAAAAATAAGATCTTTTCTCCTTTATGAAGACTTCAAATTATGAGTTATTGAATATTTACATGTACATAAGTTTGAGTTAAACAAAGATTTTGTAAAATTTATTGAGGATAAGATTATATCTAACCTTAGAATAAAAGAAAAGACAACTATCTCTCATATACCTGCACGCGAATGGTTGAATATACTTAGTTGAGTATATAAAGATCACTCAAAAAACATTTATTTTGATGGTCATGAACATAAAGATGTAGTGGCAGATAGATGTCAATTTTTGTAGCAATAGGCAGAACTACAAAAACGAATGATTACTTACAAGGGCAAAAATTTAGATCAAAAAAATTTACCTATACTCTCACTAAATGTTTCTGAGATCTTTTCTATCACTCATGATGAGTCAGTCTTTTTGTCAAAACTTGGAGATCAGCAGATGAGAGTTGACTTTATCATAAATCGCAAGGTCTAAGCATCCATGTAAGCGACTTTCTCTGTGAATCAATTGGACGTCTTCAGCTTTCAAACGAAGAATGTGTCATCAATGACTTACTACTTACTAATGAATAACTTATACATACTGAAGCTTGCGTTACTATATATCCTAATACAAATCATGATGGTTGGTAAACAAATAAGGATGTTATTAAATAGGTAAAAGATCATGCTATTCTAATATTCAAATAGACTCACCCCAAAAAAGTAGCATTATTTATGTTCGATAACAATAGTAACTATAATGCATTTGCCGAAGATGCATTAGTAGTTTTAAGAATGAATATGAAAGATGGCAAAAAACAACCGCTTCTCTATAATGGTAAAATGTCTGATAATTCACCTCATATCATGACATTTGCAGATGTTGATGGTGTCATAAAATTAAAAGGTATTCAAAGAATTCTTGAAGAGCGTGGATTGTAAGTATTGGGTTTGATAAGAAAATGCAATGCTTGTGTATAACATAACCTTAATCCAATTAAACAAGACTATTGCACAACTCGTATTCTTTCTGCCTAACCTGACTTTACATCGCAAAAGATGCATCTACAAGAGATAAGTTGCAATTAGTAGATTGTTAGTAGATTATTAAGGTAACTAATATTTTACTTATCTTTTCAGGTTATTGAAGTAGCAGGACACTTATGCATATTTTACTCAAAGTTTCATTACAAGCTTAATTACATTGAGTCATTTTGGGCAGAAGCAAAATGGTGTTCGCGTTTTCATTGCAATTACACTTTCAAAAACCTAAAGGAAGTTATTTCACGCATATTGGATTCCATTAGTCTAATAAAAATTTGTCAGTTCACACATTATTTTGCATATTACATAAGTGCTTATGAGTTAGAACTTTCAAACAAAGCAGTTGTCTTTGCAGTTAAGCGATATTGATCTTATTGTTAAGTTTTTGCAAATGTCTTAGAAGAATTTGATGAATTGTGATACTGTTTTTGGAAGAATTTGAATTTTTCAACCAATCATTTATAATCATGTAATTAAATTATCACTAAAATTGCTGAACGAAATCCAGATTTTAGATAGACGTCTAAATGGTAAAAGTAAAACTTAGTTAAATTTTAGCGAAATTTAGAAAAAAGTAAAACTATATCAAAGCTTATAAAATGGCAAAATTATATCAAACACTTAGTAAAAATTTAGCGAAATTAAAGGTTTACACTAGTCAAAATCATTTCTTTCAGCACTAATACTTTTCGGTAAACATTCAGCCGATTTGGTCATGTGATTTGGCAAAAATTCGGCTTAAGTTACAAAAATTGATAGTAATTTGTTACATCACACATAATTTAGCATTATTTCGGCATTAGATCTTTCGTCAAATATTCAGCCGATTTGTTTATATGGAAGGCGGTCAGTAGAAAAGAGGAAAATTCAAAATTTTTGTTAATTTTTATTATTAAGCTAAATTTGTGTACATGATCAAGATTAGCCAA